TCCTCTGTCCGCTCAACAGACGGGCGGCAGTTTTTCGAGAGAAAAATGGGGAATTTTGAAAAAAAAACTTAGGGAAAAGTGGTAGACAGTTGGGAGATTAGGGACAGTGGCAGAATGGGAATGGAGAACTAGCCACAGCAGAAAATTCCGAAGGTGGGGGGGACGGTAGGAAGCGCCCTGCTCTTTACTCCTTCGTGATTGGTTATGGATAACAGAATTGTCTGGAAGAACGACTTCACCGAACGAATATCGGATGCCCTTCGGGGAAAAAAACGTGATTAGGTGCTCCGCCATTCCTCAACGGAGCTCAAGAGCATGGCGCATCCTAAAGGGAATCGTCAATGCCAACAACTTAATCCTTCTTTGTGTGTGATGGTTGTGCGGAACTTACCAGTAATTCAGTGAATGGCTTAATTGAACCCATAGATAATGACCGATGACGCTATCGGAAAGAGTCGTCATCAAGGCACGTCGTACACTGGGGATACCCTGCGAAGGGGAAGGGGGGTCGTGTTTGTTCGCTAAAGGGAGGGGATCATATGAGCCTGTGTGAGAGAGGTTTTCGGTTGTTGACTTTCTGCGTTTTTCTTGCTTCAAAGCACGCCATACAGCCCCTCTGTTCCCGCCCGGGCAGTAACTTTTAGGGGAAAACGAGATTTTCTTTGGAAAAGTGATCCAGAATTGAGAAGAATTCCGAAAGATGGTAGGTAGAATGTGGGAGGGGGAAGAGCTCGCACAAGGGAGGAAGTTTCGAGGGGGGGTCGTGTCTTGCAAAGCTCCTCCTTAACGGCAGGACGTGCCCTGCTCATCATGTCAAGGAAAATCATAACTGAATCATCGGCGGAATATCAATTTGCAAAAAAAGTGAGAGGGGGAATGTCTGGAATGACCATCGTGAATAAATCAAAGACGGCGCCATTATGATTCAGCAACAGCCAGCCACATGTCCGGTTTTTCTTGCTGTGAGCATTAGGCTGGAAAAATGGTCTCCCAGTAATTGCAGGGGGTACCTCCAACCCGTCAATTGTCGACGAGGCAACACAATTTATTTATCCAGTGAACATTCCAAAGTGGAAAACTGCGAAGGAAGAAACTCACCACAAAACCCTTGTACCATTCCTTGATTTGTTCTTCAGTGAAATTGGTGTTCTTTTTGAGGAATTCCAAGTCCTCTTTCGAGAGTTTAGGTTTCGAGCCCTTGAGTCCCATTGGCGCAGCTGCGTCGTCGTGTCACGGCGCAGTCGGCACGACTCTGCTTCAATAAAGAGCGACGCGTTAAACGTAAATGTAGGATTGGCGCTGCGAAAAGACGACGAATAGTACGAGGGCGTCAAGGCGCACTGGTAGAATAATTTTACAATAACTTGGTAAAATTAGAATATATCGCTGCTAAGGGCTAGTGGACACCACCACCACACGTAGAACATGTACCACAGAGCTAGTGGACGATCGATAGTGGTGCTGCGCTAGCCGTCGGCCGTCGCCGCCCCTAGCGGTCTGCGATCGATAGCACTCACTACGGTAGCAAGCAGCAGCAGCAGCAGTGAGTAGGAATATGGGCGTGTAGCGCTCAGTGTTCTAGATTTGGAAGTTATGCTGCTGTTGCCGCTAGTTTGTAGCC